AACTTAAAAATTGGCGATAAAAAAATACGTCACAAAATACACTATTTTCAGAACTTAAAATATATTTTTTTCTCATGTCCATATATCTTGATGTCGAGATGATCAATTTGAAGATATTTGGGCATCAAAACATCTTCTAGTAAATTTTTTTAGGTAGGCTCAAATTTGATTGTTTAGAGCCTAGGCTCTATATAAACCTTTCCCTTGTATAAAATGTCTACCTTTTTATACATTATACAAGTAAAATGTTCTTCTAAATTTTGCAGGAAGATGTTGTTCCAGTGTTAGAAATTAGAAATCTGATGATGACTTAAAAATCTATGTTCCAACCTAATTATGAAATTTCAAATTTCGAAAAAGACAAAAACGGTACAAATTAAACAAATATATAAACACTTGAAAATAGGTGCTCCAGGTAACTTGTTACAAGATGTATTATTTTCAAGATTTAAAAATTCCCCTTTTATATGTATATCTATACATTTTAACATCGAGATGATCAATTAGAAGGTTTTTCAACCTCAAAACACTCTTTTCTACTAGATTTTTTAGGGTGTACTTCACTTCTATAGTATAGCTTATTCTTTCTTTATGTATCGAAGAGGGATATTTCCTTGACTATCCTACTTTCCCATGATTGTTTCGTGAGAAAGCAGCACGGAAGAAAGTGCTAAACACAACACTGATAGACCATATGTAATTTAGTGAAACTTTTGGGGAAAGCGGCTTTTGTGAAACCTCTTTCCTAGAGAGATATTTCTATCTTAACAAACAGTGCCAAAGATAAAGAGAGTGTGTGTGTGTGTGTGTCAAATCATTGTAGCAGACATAAACAACGAACAAAAGGCCCAGACAAACAAACCCTCCCCCAAACCTCGAATACGCAAGGTATGCTCCCTCAAAGCATTTTTTATGAAAATATTATGATTTTTCAAACACCGTTTTGATGCCATGACTTTTCAAATATCTTAAAAGGACTTTTTAATTAATTAAAATATTAAAATCCTTTCTCAGGGGCCATTAGGATCTCTGGAAAGAGATTGCCATGAAATGGTTTTCTAAGGAAATTGCCATTTCCGATGTTTGGATTCAAATCTAAGAAATTTTTCTGGCATAAATCTTCTGCATTTTGAGCCCAAAATATAGAAACCTATTTCCATGGCTTCACCCTAGAAAATCTTTTTTCCAGCCAGTTTTCCATCAGGAGCCAAAAACCTACTAATCCAAATCTCTCTCTCTCCTCCCACCCCCTGGATAGGCGTGTAAATGGGTTGGGTCAGGTCCAAGCTGACCCGATCTAGAGTCTAGAAATAAAAAAAATATTGAAAACTTATTTTATATTAATATTATTTATATGAATCTTATATATACCAAGTCAAGTCAAGATGACCCTACTCGGACCCGACCCGATAGGATCCAACCCAGACCCGGACCCAACCCGGGTTGAGTCATGGTCAAGTGGATCTAGAGCCGACCTATTGGGTCCATTGTTTGGGTCCGGACACAAACTTGACGAGCTTGACCCCTTGGGTACATAGGTTGACCCGACCCATTTTCCACCCTTAGTATCATATACCTTACCCTTAAATTTAATAAGTTTAGTGGGTTTTGCTTGATGATCTTTTCAATATAAATTCAAATGCAATTTTTTCTTAACAATAACCAGCTTGAGTAATAACCAGCTTGAGTGACCAATTTCTAAGTCCAGGGAATTCTAGAGTGCATCTAGATGCTATCCAAACAACAAAAAAAGTATGTTCTAGAAAATATTTTTGCTAGAAATGTATTTCACATGAAATAGATTCTTTAAGATAATATTTTTCTAGAGATCCAAAAAGCCCTTTTCTAAACAAGATTTTTAGGAAAGCTTTAAAAAATTACCTTTTATATCCTTCGTTGCTATCTTTTTATTGTCACCATTTTATTTTTAAAAGGGAAATTTTCCTAAATATTCATAAGATACGTACTATTTAACATTCTACCCATATCTTTTGACCTAACTTCAAATTACCTATCAAAAGTCACATATGATCATGACTTGGGATGGTTGTAAATGGGCAAAATGTTAAATAGGTCAACTCTTATTAAGTAGTTTGATAAATTTATCTTTAAAATAATAAATGATAATACCGTTCCAACATATATGAATTAAATAAACTATCAAAAAATATAAATAAAACATTACTATATCCAAAGTCACATATGATCATGACTTGGGATGGTTGTAAACGGGAAAAATGTTAAATAGGTCAACTCTTATAAAGTATTTTGATAAATTTATCTTTTAAATAATAAAAGATAATATAGTTCCAACATATATGTATTAAATAAGGGTGCGGTTTGTATAGAGCCTTGGATCTAAAGAATCAAATTAGAGCATACCTTCAAATAGTATCAAGAAATGTGGTTTCAATGCTGGAAATCTTTTTGATAGCTTTAAAATATATTTTCATCTTTAGTTATAAAGTTTAAAGCTTCGAAAAAAGTTTAAAGCTTCGAAAATAGTGTAGATTGATAGATCTATGAAAAGTTGAAAATCTTGAAAATTGACAGTCCAAAAATGCATGACAAAATATACTATTCCCAAAACTTTAAATCAATTTTTTTCTCATGTACATGCATCTGGATGTCGAGATGGTCAATTTTAGGAGATTTGGGTATTAAAACAACCTCTTCTAGTGAAAGTTTTTAGGTAGGCTCTAATTTGATTATTTAGAGCCTCGGGTTGATATAAACCCTTCGCATTAAATAAACTATCAAAAAATATAAATAAAACATTATTATCTCTCTACTATGCACGTAAATAGCTCTCTTTTTCTCTAATACAGAAAACAGGTATTTCTCTCAAACCTACAAACCGTTGGGCTTGGTGACACCAAAATGATCGACTTACTTAAAAGAAGGATAAGTGTAAGCATGCAAGTTCCTATTTTATAAAAACATTATTAATAATATTGTTTCTTAGTTGTGAGGATGTAAATCCTACCCTTTTCATGATCAATGTCTTCCTATAATAAAGTACAAAAAAATAGTCGATCTGGAATAACTAGAATAAAGCTTCGATGATAATGATAATAAACTAAATTACAAAAGAGCAGTACATTATGGATTACTTTTTGAATCAAGCTAGAAATTAAAAAAAAGCATGTATATGGCTTCTATATAAGTGAGCTTTGTCTGCCCTAATTGAATCACCATATGGGAAATGTATGTTTCATATAGAGAGATTGAAAGAGAACCTACTGTAACAACCAAGAGAGAGAAACGTGTGAAGCTATCAAGAGCAATGTTGTCGGATTCACTTCGAAGTCTTTTTTGGTTTGATGAGAAAAATGAAGCAATTCACTGCTTCGGCCAATTCAGGGGAAGACATTGGATTTTTTTTAATTGAATATAAATAAATTAGATATTTATATATAAAATATATACAAATAATGAAAAATAAAAAATAAAAAAATTAACAAAAATAGAAAAATACATTTATATAACTATTTCTTTGCTAGCCGAAATAGACCTGAAACATTCTCGAAATAGTCAAAATTTGACTAAAACAGCCCGAAGCGGTCCAAATCGCTTCTCTTCGGTTTATGCCTAAAATCCAAAAGCTTCAGCCTTTTCAGCTGAAGCGAAACGAATTTGATAACATTGATCCAAAAGAAAAAAGTACCTATTGCGGAAAGAACGTTGCTTTTGAAGAAGAAACAAAGGGAGAGAAAGTACTTGAAGAAAGTCGAGAGAAATATCCTCTTAAAGAAAGAATGTGAATCCTCTTAAAGAAAGAATAGAAGAATTAGAAAAGCCCCAAGAAAGAAAGATTTCTTCTTGGCGTTGCTCTTAGGGTTAGAGAGAGAGGGGGCTCTTCAGCACACACACCTAGAGAGGGAGAGAGAAGGGATCAGTGACCTCCACCAATCAATGTGCTTTTGGAACGTTATTTTCTCACCATCAAATATTGCATCCTCATTGTTTAGTGAATTCGTTTGCATCGCCTATGGATATAACCTTGATGATGAACTATGCAAATCTTTGTATCCTTATAGCAATTAATCTTTGTATCCTTATAGCATTTGTAATTTTAGCTCATATTATGGTACGTGCTCATTTTCTAACGAGTTAATTACACATTCCTAATTGGATTCCAAACATTAGGATTCATGTTTCCCCAAGGTCTCTCAAAATCCAACACAAACCTCTCGAATCTAATTCTCTGCAACCAAACCCACGCCCCTGGCCCGGCCCGGCCCGGCCAAAATAATCTCTCATTAAAAAATATGGGTCGAACCAGCTCTCTCCCCTTGCCTACAAATAAGGTTAGGTTAGACCAGCCTGTAGAGAGCAAATATTTGGGTTGCCTTGGTGTAGCGAAAAGGGAGCTGAGTTTTGTGGGCTGGGTTTCAAGAGAGAAGAAAGTGGGGTAGACTTAGTAATAGGACTGTAACAATTTGGAATTTGGCTGTGCAGAGAGAACTTTGGGGACAATTTGGGTTTTGTATAGAGAAATTGGAGAGAGATTTCTGGTTTCGAGAAAGAGAGCTCGAGTTTGCGGGTTAGGAGAGACTTATGATAGAAAAAAATGTAAAAGCAGTGTTTGAAAACACAGACTAGTCGGGCGTATTGTCCATCGCACATATCCGTCTCAAATCGTTGATATGAATAAATCTAGATCCGTCCAAATTGGCGATCCAAAAATATTATAATAAAAAATAAAAACATAGGGTTTATTGAGGGAATAAAGGGACATTAGAAAATATTAAATAAGCTACAAGAAATTGAAAAACACAAAAATAATGAAAGGCAGGCCTTCCCAAACCCAGTTCAATCCCGACCACTTCCTGAGCGAGATCAACAATTCCTGATCCAAAACGCTCAATTCTCAAATACAACGCAAAAGGAAGTAGTGATATCAACTATTTTTTTTTTTGGGTTTTTGTGGGGTTAGGAGGGGCGGGGTAGGGAAAAAAAAAACAGTTTAGTAAATAATACATACAGTACACAAAAAGTATATTTTATACTTTCAGCTATCAACAACAGGGGGAACATCTACACCTTTTGAAGTCGACAACAGACTTTTGATACCAAGAAGGGAAATGAAAGGCAAGATCATTGCCCTATTTGAAAACTTTTGTTACATTTGAAGGGCAACACCTCATCCTAAAGCAACTCAAGCTTCAGCCTCACATAAATCCATAAAAATGAATGGACAAAAATCAATTTTTCTGTAACAAAGGCAGAGATCCCGACTACCACAAAGTCTCAGAAAGTTGTGAGCGAATCCACTAAAAAATGCCCCTCGCCAAAAATAAGCAATTTTATGAATAAGCTAAATAAAATGAGTTTGTTTTACTTTACCCAATTCTCCAAAATTGAGACATGATTCAGCCCCACAGGTTGTGTATATAACGGGTTTCTGCTTTAACCTCACTTCTTAGAACCAGTTGGGCTCTCCAAATTCATCTCCTGAAGGTTGAGCAAGAGGTCATCCGAGCTCAAGAAAACACGGTTTGCAGAGTTGGAGATGGTATGAGCTATCTCTCTTGCAGCTTCAATCTTCCTCAAGGTGATGAAAGCTGCGTTATTAGCAATGGCCTGACCAATAAGTTGAGCACTCTTGGCTTCTCCCTGATCATCAAAGCATCAAAATGGGGAAGTGATCACATTTAGGGTTTAGCCTGAAGGGATTGTATAGAATCAAACCATTATGTATCATACAAAAATATCACCCCCTAGTCATCAAATGTGAAATCGAATGGCTGCATGTACATTATTCCACACAAAATCTTAGGAAAATTATCTCAACTTCAAGCATGGTGAAAGGTGCAGCCCCAGCCACATGATTATCACACTTTTGTACCAAAGATAAACAGCATTACTGTATATTTTCCAAAGTTTAAAACAGAACAAACAAAAGATGATATTCAGTTTCCGGAAAGAAAAACAAAATATGATATTTAAAGAAAGGAAATATATACCTATAGAATGCTAAGAATATGAAAGAAAATGATAATGCCATTGGCCCCAAAAATTGCAGAGAAGGGCATATTTTATATTAAGGAAGTTTCTTTTTTCTTCCTCTTTTTTTTGAGGGCAAGATATTATCTATAATGAACTTTGTTAACATGCCCCAAGACATTTTCAATTTAAGGTCACTATTTCTAATCATTTTAGGGCAAATAATAGTAGTCCTTTATCAAGGTGAAATGCAAAAAGTTCATTGGACCATGGGCTGACATGTGGATGCCGACCTCCTCCCAACCAAATCACCTTTCACATTTACAATTAGCAAATACTTAAAACTTACCCAACCAAGGAATAAAATTCCTTTTTGACGGTTCTCAATTGAAAGGCAATTTGTAGTATGTCCACAAATTTCAATGGACATTACAGTAGCGTCATCATACATAAAGTATACAGGGCTGTGTTACCTAGATACGAACATGGGTGTCCGAATTTTATGGGTATCTAAGTGTAATAATTCAGCCTAAAAATCTAATAAGGCACAAGTTTGTATGATTATTATTTTATAACTAATAGACTTCTAACGCATATATAACAAAAATTCATGACATAATGGCTTCACCCCGCTCTTGTGCTCTATACATTTTTGTAATATGCCGGTTAGGAACGGTTGACACCAATGTCCAAGTATCGATCATGCATCAACAATACTTCTTCAAGAATGAAGAACATGCATGACATAGATGTAGGATATGTTAATATTCCATACCTGTGCTCTAATAACAGCGCTCTTCTTGTCTTGCTCAGCTTTCTCCACAACAAACTTTGCCCGTTCTGCTTCTTGAGCAGCAACTTGTTTGGCTTCAATTGCAGCGGTGAACTCCTTCCCAAAGGTAAGGCCCGTAATAGAAACATCATCAAGGGCAATATTGAAATTTGCAGCTCTCTCGGTCAATATTTTCCTTATTTCTCGACTGACAGCCTGAAAGTACCCACAGATTATAAAAAGTCATATGTGAATATTATCATCATGCTTAGTATCAATTGATCTCAGATTTATGTGTGGAAAGAGAAAATAAGGAAAACTACCAAGCTCATACAAGAACCACCACGAAGCTAATAAAGGAAGATGCTCAAAAGAACCACCATAAGGCATAATACTTGAAGATACTCAAAACCAATACCTCTCTCTGAGTGATGAGTTGACTTGCATTGTATTGGGCTACCACTGCTTTTAAAGTTTCATGGATAATTGATGGCAGAACCCTCTCATTATAATTCTCGCCAAGGCTTCTATAGATAGTGGGTAATTGATCTGGCAAAGGACGAGTAAGAACTCGAAGACCTATCTTGACCTGAACAAAGCACCAAAAGGATATTTGTCTTTCATATTTATTTTGTGATAGGATAAACAGAAAAGTTAGTGAAATGGGGAGTATTTCCATGCCATATTTCCAAATAAAGGATAACGTGAGGGAAAATAAAGGGCAAACATTTGACAGAAAATGAAGTCGATTAAATGTGTAAATTCTTTCAAAGGATCCCTATATGAAACTATATACACATATAGAGACAGAGACAAACACGTGCCTAAAAAACTTTATATCAACTTGCCAATACTTCAATCCCTTGAAAAAACTAGAGAGAGAGAGAGAGAGAGAGAGAGTCTGAAGACAGAGCGAGAGAGAGAGAGAGAGATATCGAGGGGTTTGGTGGTCAATGCATGCCCTGTTCTGCACAATGTGTGTGTGTGTATGAGAGAGAGAGAGAGAGAGAGAGAGAGAGAGAGATTAATGGAATCCTACTAAGAAGGGCTGACATGGTTGCAATCTCCTTAATATGTGAATGTAGTGGTATTTTTCCCAAACCAATATCTCCCATAGTAATTTATTAACATTGAAAGAATGAGCAATTACAACCACAAGTCTGTAACTGATCAGAATGTACCATTTGAAGATCACGACTTCCAGAAGTACTCTCAACAAGGTGGGGGCGAGCACGGACATCATAAATGACGGGTCTATCAAACCAAGGAATCATCAAATGAGTCCCCTCAGGATAAACCTGAAAATAATCTTAGACAAAATTAGAATAAAGAAAATTTGCTTCCCAGATAGGCCTTGCTACTGATAAGGAGGCAAGATAGGATAAAGAAAATACATTAGAGAATGTGCTAAAACTATTCTACAGTTAATAGTAGTTTTATTTATTTCCCTTTCTTTGCAGTGAGCATATAAAAAAGATGCATCAGATAGACATGCAGTAAGGATTACCACCGGATAACACGAACCATTCCATATACATATCAATTTCATTCCTACATATGTCAACATTAATCAAAGCTTCCGATTAGAACCCAAATAATAGTTCAACAGTTCTGAAATGGGTTCCGTTCTTCAATATCTATTTCTTTTAGTACAAGGACATAAGGACGACTAAGCAGGCAAGGTAAAGCATTGCTATTGATTATAGCCATGAGAATCATTAACAGAGGACCACAAAATGACTTGTCAAACCATGAGTACCATAATCATCAAATTTAAGCATTTCACAACCATCAGACTGGAATAGATGAGTTCTCAGTTAAAAAGACTGTTTTCCATATTGTTCATTTTAAAGCCCTTTTAAAATCAGTGAATTATTTTTACTTTTGTTAACAAGCATAGTGAAATGTTTTGCTTCAGTTGTAACTCGCACAGAAGACAGCATTAGCAGAGAACCATTGAGTTGAACTTGATACACAATACAAATAAGTAGTAACCATAACTCTGCTTCCATTAACATCTCCTTGCCATCATTCTTTTTTTTTGGAGCTTGTTAATTTTCTATTACAAGAAAAATGATTTACAAAGAATAGCCCACACAGCCAGGGCAGTGTACCCACTCAAGGTGGGATATACACGAGAAGGTACAAAAAGGGGTCCAAAGAACGAATGCTATACATCTTTAAAGCTTACAAAAAAGGAACCCATAGCTCAAAAAGGTGCTGAATGGATTCCGGCCGGAGCTGCTACTGAGTGTGCTCCTTCCCTGGCTAGTGCATCAGCTGTGGCATTAGCTTTCCTCACCATCATTCTTGCCAGAATTAAACAAAACCAAACACTGCCTCTAGCATGAGCCCCCTTGTTGATTATTCACTGTTGATATTACAATACCTCAAAATGTATGGTTGTATGTGCATTTTCTTACTGCCTCTGCGTGACTGGACCAAACGTTCGTCTAGAACTGTAAAATGTGTCTTTGGGGTAATGCTGATTATGATCCTTGAGCTAGAAAACTTAATATTGATAACACGTTAGTTTTCCTAAAGAACCTTTTTTTAGTTTCAAACTACAGCAGATCTCCACTTTCTCCTTAAAATTCTGAAAACCCTATAGCTAAGAACACGGCTACTAGAGAGTAACACACACGAGAAACAAATGCTAAGCATATAGGAGAAAGAGAAATAAAACTGTAGCTTTAACAAGCTAAAGCACTGTCAAAACTAAAGACCCTCAATATTTTTAGGCTCTCACAACATGATATGGAGACTATTGTTAAAAAACGTGGCAAAGCACTCCAGAGGGGCAAAGCCACAACTGAGTTGCCTCCCAACTTCAACAAACTAACTTGGTGAGTTTGATTTAGAAAAAAAGAAAGGCTCAGCCCTACAAAGAAAATAAGTACGTAGTTATAGAAAAAGGTGAGAAAATTTTCTGAGACTTGAAACATAGGAAAATCTCAGTCATTGTATCCAATGACTTGCCTGAGTTTCTTCAAACTAAAATATTGAATCATTCTCAAAAAAAAAAGTTGAACTCCTTATTAGCCAACTTCAATTCAGCAATCAAGTCGACTTAGCATAACTCTTGGGACACTGATGTCGACTATAGCTAAGGAAGACATGAAACTGAACTCACGTCCAAGCGGCCTCAGAGCTTTAACCCACACATCACATATTGCTATGGTTCCCTCTTCAGCTCATTGCCAAAGAGCATTAACCACCATTCCTATCAAGTTAATTTTGCTCTTCAGTTCATCACCCAGTTACTCTCATTTGCAGAACACCAAAAAAAACCCAAAGTCCTCACCTTAGAGATTCACCAATTGGCCTCTATTTACTTCTTCAAAATAAAAATTCAGGCACAAAGTTCCCAACAAGTATGAGTCTAGTAGAGCAACACAATATTGGAAATCTTTCCCCCATCATGATGACACCTCACCCATGGAAGTCATCACACTTAAATATCCTTTCCAGCCACCTCAAAAGGTTCAATTCTTTCATCCATTCCTTCAGACTGTTCAGATGGTGGGTCAATAAGAATATCCCGTTCTCCTACCATTTCACCCCCAGGCAGCCCCGTGATCAATCTCAATGACAAATTAACTTTAACAGCTTTAGCTACTAAACTAAGCAACTTTTTCCCTGTACTTGACAGTCATATCTTATAAATGAGGTCTTCACCAGCTGCAATTCAAGAGAGAAAAAGTAAAAAAAAGAAAACTAAAAAAAAACCCTGACAAGACAAAAAGTACAAACAAATGACAGAGAAGAGAGAAAAAAGAGAAAACATTTTTTTTAAAAAAAAAGAGTGCAAAAAGAGAAAAGCATACATCAACTTAAAAGAGGAACCTCAATTTAATTGCTAGTATGAACTACTACTCGACTTGATCCCTCTTTAGCAGTATGGGAATAACCAAATTGGATTCATGATCAGAGTATCGCTAAAAAATGAGACCTCTAATTTTTCTTTTTATGGATAAATAGAACTTGGACATTTATTATGCAAGTCAAACATCTCCTCCATAAGATTATTAGTAGCAAGTCAACAAGGTACACTGTCTTGGATATATCCCACCTGATAATGTTGAGGAAGTAGCCCTTGATTATCCTTGGGCTAGAGAAGAATTGGGCAAACTCAGCCTGCAAACCAAAGCCAACTTCTCTTCTGTGGTAAATCACAAATACCCAATGGACGAGGGAACACTCTCAAGGCATAGGGCAAAAGAAAATGCATGGATAATCAGAAACGAGGATCATCATACCAAAGTTTAAACTATTAAATGTGCTTAATCATTCTTGAGGATTAAGCATCAATAACTGAGTCTTCAGGGAAAATGAAAAACTCATAAAGGAAGTAATTTTATGACCCCAAGTATTTGATCTCAACATCAAATGACCACATTACTCAGCACTGTGCAACAAGACATTTCTTATGCAAGGTTAATTTAAAAAAAAGAAAAAAGATTTCAGGAAGTACCAACTGTGCCATAGCCTACCATTGAAGTCTAAAACATTTATTGTAAAACATTTATCAAACTGACTCTGCAACCAATCCAGAGCCAAATTCTGCAGCATCTCTGAGTAACAAAGAAGAAATTGCTTGTGCCCACATAATCCCATTTCTCTTACCCAAATTTAAGACCCTTCAGAGCTTGACGTAAACCAGAAGCAACTAACATTCTTAATCTTAATTAGCTCCTCCTCTATGCCTATTTTAATTATGACAACCAAATAAACTACAAGTACACTAGGTGAAATGAATCCATTGTTCTCGTAACTATCAAAATATCAATGCACTGCTACTATTGCAAATCCCATGGGTTCTTTTTATGAAGCAAGCATGGCTTGCCCACTGAAAACAATAAAAAAGGGAAACACAACATAATGAATGCTAAGGACAAAACATCTACCCCAAGCAGAGAATAATGCATACTGTGGTCAGTTAAATCGATTCACTTAGAGAAAAAAAGCAAATTAAATACCTTGTCTTTGACACCCACTAAACGGTTAAAAACAATAGCTCGATGACCTCCCTCAACATTGTAGAGACTATTTAATGCTGCATAGATGCCAAGCCCACCAAGTACTGCAGCCTTTGTCAAAGCCGAGGCAGCACCGCCCCCAGGCACTTTTGGAACTCTGACATTTTTGAAATTCATAATGACTGGAAAACCAAATGCTGAGAATCAAAATATTAGCTGGAAGTTCCACAAACTTAAAAACACGCATCATTAAATGGCATGATTAGAAATAGTGAAAGAATGACAAACAAGTATCACCGCATGCTCGCAGAGAAGTTCAGAATAAAACTTATACAAAGTTCCAGTCATACAAGGAACATTCCTTTATTAATCAAAAAAAAAAAATTAACTGTACTGCAGAGCTGGAAGTATCCGTACACCAACACTATTGAAAATAGCTCACCCAGTTGGCACCAAACAATTCCTAGCCTCCAAAATCCACTTTTAAAGCTATGTTGCATGAAAAGAACTACTTGTGTAAGTATCAGACAATGGTATAGGGCATGGGATTCCCCAATCCGTGAAGAACAAGATTCAGTGAAACGAGTATCTTCTTAAGAAAGAAAAAACAAAACCGGACATTAATATTCTATGTCATGATCAGTAGCCAAAAAATTCAATTATGCCTTGATTCAATTAAGACACGTTTTTACTTTATCTGGAAAAGAATCCATATATGTTTTTAAAGTTCGTACGTTTCTAATTTAAAAAAAGGAAAAAGAAGAAAAGACCAAAGTCTGCATCAATGATGCAGGCAACAGACGGTGTGCAAGCAAAAAATCCATAAGAATCTGTGTCAATATACATAACTCCGTTGTGCAGATAGCTACAGTGATCATAATATCCATCTTCCTTTGCATAAAGAGCACACTCTAGAAGACGTATAGCCCATCTTTATAGTATTACAGTTCAATAACTCACCAACAGTTTTTCTTCAAAAAAAAAATAACTCACCAACAGACCAAACAGACTTCAAGGATAGCTAATAAATTCCAAATTGGTCCTCAAAAGAAAAAGGAATGTCCCCTTATACACCGTAACTATGTAGATACCACATCACCAATAACTCAGAAAGGCTTCAAAGACCATAAAAATAATCACATATCGGTTATTGCCCAATAAAAGACAAAGCAATGAATGTAACAGTGAAAATAATCACATATCGGTTGTTTCCCAATACACTAATCAATGAAATGAATCCCTTTTGCCAATATAACAGTTAGAAGCAGTGAATCAAAAACCCAGCATGGCATACGGCCAAGTCAAAAACCAAAGCCATGGGAATTGACACAGCCCAGCCAGTTTCCCAAAATTTCGATATTATGTTCCTAGGATTCAGCCAAGTCTGACCAAACCGAATCGGGCTTGGGACCCTAGCAAGTCCTAACCGAGTCCTTGTTCCAAATCACTGGCTAGAAAGAACCAGTAATAGTTTATCAAATAATGGGCAAAATTGTTTACATTGAAGAAAACTAACCCTCAAGGATAGTGAAATACCGAGAGAAAAAGAAATGAATTCTTTTACCCTAGCTCAGGAAATCAATAATGTGAATATACACTGAGATTGAAGATAGCTCTTCAGAAGTAAACAAAGGTGACATTAAGAAGGTGAGAATAGAGAACTGCAACATCAATGACTTAAAAATCTAAAAATCGACTGCATAGCTCTGGAATATGTCTTTTGCTCACCTTCTTCACAAATTGTTTAGACACTGAAAGATTTCTTGCTTGTCCAATAAATTCGGCTTGCACTCCAATAAAAGAAAATTTCAAGTGATTTTCCATCTCGTCACAAGAGACTTAGACCAGAGTGTTTCTTCATGGCATTTTACAGAACAAAATCTAAGCATTTTTACAGAACTACCACGCCATTTGAACATCATTTCAAAAATCCATGGAGACCTAAATATCAAGAGAGAGCAAGAGCTGGGGAGGACAGGAGATGGACCGTACCTTCGTCTTCTTCTCTTCGTCGTGTTAGAGAGGGAGCTCTGGTCCCTAGCCCTTGAGTCCTGGGGAGGGAGAGAGACTGTCTAAAACCCTAGAGTCGGAGACAGATGGGTTCCAAAACCCTATTATCGAGATATTATGGCCTGGGGCTTACTATTAAAAACAAAAAAAAACTTTAAAAAATGAAAAATTATGTTGGACCGTGTTTTTATATATGCAGTCGAGAAAATATAAACTATCCATCTTTTCCATCTAAAAACGATAGAAACTAATGGTGTAAACGTTTTCTTACTAAGATCATTATTTCTAGTTTTTAAAATTTATTTATTTTTTCATATCCATGATCGGAGATTACTTAAAAATTAAGCCTTAAAATCCACTTCAAAAATAGATCTATTAAGATGTCCACACTTCTATATATGCCGGCTTGCCAGCAAAGACACCGGGTCCTTTGTTATCAAAATTAGGGTGACATTTATATAGAGCCGAGGCTCTAAACAATTAAAATAAAACCCCACCTTCAAATACTATCGAAAAATATGGTTTCAATACTAGAAATAGTTGTGATAGCTTTAAAATATTTTTTCATCTTTAACTATAAAATTTAAAACTTCAAAAATAGTATAGATCGAGCATATCTATGAAAACTTGAAAAGTTATTAGATGTACTATTTTTAAAACTTGAAATTCATTTTTTCTCATGTCCATGCATTTTGATGCGGAAACGATCAATTTGAGGATATTTGGGCATCAAATCAAGCTCTTCAGGTGAAATTTTTGAGGTAGACACTAAGTTGTTTATGTAGAGCCTCGGCTCTATATAAACTTTTTCCACAAAATTATTCTTATAATTATATTCATTATTCTATTTCCACCTTCTTTTTAAATAGGGAAATTATCGCTAATATACCTTAATTTTAACAAAATTGAGAAAAAAACCCAAACTTCCAAAAACCTCGCCCACACCTTTTTTCCCAAATTTCATGATTTTTTGGACAAAAATGCACTTTACGGTAGCCTTTCTACTGCAATGGCATGATAGAACTATGGTACTTAAAGTACCATATTACCTTGAAAATATAATACGGTACTTAGGGTATCGTAATACCGTGAACATATGTTACGGTACTTGGAGTACCGTAGTATCGTGAACATATATTACGGTACACGTTGTACCGTAATAATTCCTCAAGTTATACGTAATGGTTCCCGCTTTTTTTTTTAACATGTTTTTTTATAAAACCCTATTTTGATGATGTTTTAGCCCATTAATCCAATTTTTATGTCTCTCATCTATTTACTATTATATCATATTATTTATCAATCTTTGTACGAGGTCTCTACGAACATCAAATATACACACCAACACTGATATTTAGGTATGTCATCAAAATATTATGTTGTTTTTAGCATCTAAAAATAATAATTATGTTGTTTTTTAGCATCTAAAAAAAATATTATGTTATTTTTCTATAATACTTGATATAATTTGATTAAAATATTGCATAAAAAAGTAAAGATTTATTTATATTGTTGCATAAACAAGTTTCTTAGATTTATTTTATGGTTGGCCATCAAAATAATGTTTTGGTATAATACTTGATGTACTTGGTTTGGCCATTGTATTTTTTTTATTATTATTATTTTTATATTATGACATTTGTATTGCAATCTAATGTCCCTCATGCAACCTCCTCAGTATTTGCAATCTAAGTTTTTTGTATATGTTTCCATATGAAATTTTTATACAATGATTCAACTTGTATATAACAATAATTGGTGAAAATATAGTGAAAATCGTTTTATACTTTGGTGGTTTTTTCAAGAGGAAACTTAATGATGGAAGTATTGTTTATAACAGTGGGGACGTAAATGTTATATTTTTTAAGGGGATCCTATCATTTGAACAAGTTAAATATCACTTGTCAAAAGTATCAAATTATGCCCCAAGTATCATGACTATTAGGTATATTGACCCAGGGTTACCAAGTAACAGTAATATGATACGTATTGATGATGATGATGATATTACCAATATGATGGAAATGTCTTCTCCCATGGCTATGTACGTATCAAACATATCACTAACAATGCCCGATATTGGTTCGTCTGACTATGCTAAATATCAACCAACAACAATGCTCGATAATGGTCCATCAAGATTGGCCATGTAAGAAATTTGTAATGAAAATCATTAATTTTCTTATTTGTCAATTATTTGTTATAAGTTAGGATAATTTTGATTTGTATTGATTTTTTTTTTCTACAGTACATCATGACCAGAGCAAGTAGGTGACAGTGAATGTGCTACTAGCATAGGCGTACAAGATAAGAATGAATCAGAAATCGAGCAGCATATCGACGACATCGATCCGACAGAAAGCCCCCTGAGGATTAACCGTTACGAAGTTGTACTTCTAGAGGGTCAGAATTTTGATGATGTACAGGCATGTCGTAATTACCATATTGATTATGCCGTATCATAAAACTTCAATATGAAGTTTATAAAAAGCGTGGAGAGACGTGTATGGGCGAATGTGCTGCAGATGGGTGTTCATGGGAAGTACGTTGTTGGATGGTTAATACAACAAATTTGTTCAAGATAAAGAAGTTTGTAAACGTACACTCATGTGTCGGCGGAATAGGTAGGGTTCATCAACCACTTGCTCGAAGCCACTAGGTGGCAAGCAAGATCAAAGACCGGTTGAGTGATATGCATAATCTTACACCTAGAGATGTGGCTAATGATATACAACGTGATTATGGTGTCATGTTATCCTACTAACAAGCATGGCGGGGCAAAGAGGTTGCACAACAGATAAATGAGGGTTCCCATATGAAGTCATACGAGGATCTCGCTAAATATCTTCACATGATCCGAGTCACTAACCTTGGAACCTTAACGACTATTCAAACAGATGATCATGATAGGTTTGAGCGTGTGTTTATAGGCAATCATCCATATTTGTATGGTTTTATGTTTGGTTGTAGGCTGCTAATAAGACTAGATGAGACATTTCTGAGTGGAAGATACAAAGGGATATTGGCTGCAATTAGGGTAGATGCGAATGAAAATATATTTCATATCGCATATGCAGAGGTTGAGAGTGAACATACACTAAATTGGACTTGGTTCTTAGAGCTTCTGAATGAGCAGTTTTGCGAGAGGCCTGACTTGCCAGCATTGACTATTGTCTTAGATCGTCAGAAAGGGTTACAAGCTGCAATTGAAACAATATTTCTAACCAGTGAACAAGTCTATTGTATGAAACACCTTGTCGATAACTTCAAACAGGCTTATAGAAATTCGACGCTCATAAAGCTCTATCGGAAAGCTGCACATGCATTGTATATATCAGTTTTCGATGAGTACATGGCAAAGATTAAGAGTGCAAATGTTGAGGCATATGATTGGAACATGTTACAACATCCGAAATATTGGGCAGACGCACATTTAAGGAGTGTAGATACAATCATCTGACATCGAACATCTCTGAATCATTTAACCGGTGGATATTACAGGCTCGGGAGAAGCCCCTTATTAAACTCCTTTAATGCCTACGGGTTAAACTCATGGAATAAATTTCAAAGAAGATAGCCATGTCCCTATAATGGAGCAACGTGTTTATACCAAAGGCTCAAAAGGTAATAGACCTGAGGAGGGATTCCTTCATACCGTCACGTGGCGACATGATGATATACATGAGATCAATGCGGATAAGAAATATATTGTTAAACTGACGACTCATACATGCAGTTGTCAAGTGTGGCGTCAAGTGTGGCAGGTTAGTGGTTTGTCGTACAGTCATGCAATCGTTGCTATATATCATAGGCATGAAAATGTTATAGATTTTTGCGATATTTATTTCACAGTTCAAATGTACCGTAGAGCATGTTTCATTCTCTTCAACCCAATGCCTGATGTACTAGAGTTGCCAGAGATTGTCTATAAAATTGTAATGCCACCAGCTGCAAGGCGAACCGCGGGTCAACCAAAGAAACGTCGTAGGCAAATAGAGTACAAAGAGATTAGGCCTCTTAAGTGTAGTCGATGCGACGTTGTAGGCCATAACCGGAAGACATATAAATCAAGTATATAAAATGATGTAAATAGGTCATTAGTGCCAATTGATCTTTTTTTAATATGTAATTTTGTAAAGAGGTCATTGCCTATGGATATCAAGCTATCCAATTTCATATCATATGGTTATAATTATTCAAGCTATCCAAGTTCAAGCTAAATGGTCTCATTGTATTTATATAATTAATAGTCTCATTCTATCTAAACTTTTATGCGATCCAATTTGAAGGTGTGCATTACTTCGATTGTTTAAGGCCTCAGCCATATACAAACCACACCCTTACATGATTCTACATAGTAAATGTACTCTATACCATCTCCAGATGGTGATGAAAAAATCACAATATAAAAAAAAAAAAATACATTATCGTATTCTTAGTACCGTAATGGTCTTAAAGAACATTACAGTACTAAGAGCACCATAATGTCAAAAAGACCGTAATGGTCATTATGGTACTTTTAGTATCGTAATGTCTTTTAAGACAATTACGGTTACAAAAAGACCGTAATGGTCCAAAGTCCACTGGAAATTTCAACGGACTTTGGACCATTATGATCTTTTTGTGACCGTAATGGGCTTAAGGAGCATTACAGTATTAAGAGTACCATATTGATTTTTTTTCTTTATATTGTGATTTTTTCATCATCATCTGAAGATGGTATATAAAGTGCATTTACTATGTAGAATCACTTGCCATTTCTTTTTCTAATTATGAAATTTCTTGAGGGGTTTTATCCAAAAATTGAATGTTTTGAGGTGTTTTATCACTTGCCATTTCTAATTTTGGACTACGTAATGCATCTTGAGGTGTTTTACGAATTGAGCCAACTATGTTTTTTAAGATAGAATATCATTATGCTTTCTCTTCCAGTGTGATTGATAAATGATGTTTTCTCTGGCAAACCACTTTGCTATGAACAAGTCTTTTTACTTGGGGTGCCCTCATTAGTTATGCATGTGATATATCTAATATTGATATACAAAGCAATTCACATACAAAACAATTGATATACAGAGTAATTCACATACAAATAAAGCTTTTCAACCATGCATCCAGC